TGGATTTTTTAAATAATTTTTTTCAAGGCCTATATAAGGCGTGGATTTTTTAAATAATTTTTTTCAAGGCCTATATAAGGCGTGGATTTTTTAAATAATTTTTTTCAAGGCCTATATAAGGCGTGGATTTTTTAAATAATTTTTTTCAAGGCCTATATAAGGCGTGGATTTTTTAAATAATTTTTTTCAAGGCGTGGATTTTTTAAATAATTTTTTTCAAGGCCTATATAAGGCGTGGATTTTTTAAATAATTTTTTTCAAGGCCTATATAAGGCGTGGATTTTTTAAATAATTTTTTTCAAGGCCTATATAAGGCGTGGATTTTTTAAATAATTTTTTTCAAGGCCTATATAAGGCGTGGATTTTTTAAATAATTTTTTTCAAGGCCTATATAAGTCGTGGATTTTTTAAATAATTTTTTCGAAGGCCTATATAAGGCGTGGATTTTTTAAATAATTTTTTCGACATCTATATAAGGCGTGGATTTTTTAAATCATTTTTTTCGACATCTATATAAGGCGTGGATTTTTTAAATAATTTTTTTCGACATCTATATAAGGCGTGGATTTTTTAAATAATTTTTGCAAGGCTTATATAAGGCGTGGATTTTTTTAATAGTTTTTTCCAAGGCCTATATAAGGCGTGGATTTTTTAAATAGTTTTTTCCAAGGCTTATATAAGGCGTGGATTTTTTAAAAAATTTTTTCCAAGGCCTATATAAGGCGTGGATTTTTTAAAAAATTTTTTTCAAGGCCTATATAAGGCGTGGATTTTTTAAAAAATTTTTTTCAAGGCCTATATAAGGCGTGGATTTTTTAAATAATTTTTTTCAAAGCCTATATAAGGCGTGGATTTTTTAAAAAATTTTTTTCAAGGCCTATATAAGGCGTGGATTTTTTAATTATTAAAGTATATAAGAATGATTTTAAAGAAAATGCCTATATTTACACAAAGCCAGTTATGTGCGTAACTTCACACTCTCACATACATATATGTACATATGTGTATGTATGTGTTTGCCTCCTCATGTAATGTTTGCATATGTCCATTTATGTAAATACCCTGGATATTAGATAAATAACTTTAGTTTTTAAAACAGGTGTTCGTTTTAAGTTCAAAAATACACATACAACTTTTTTCCAAGTGTGTATATGTGTGTGTCAAACACACACACACATATTTTTTTACAAAAAAAATCTGCAGGCTGTACTTAATGTGGTTGCTTGATTCCAACTTGTATATCTGTACAGGTGAATAATAACGACATAAAATACACATATGCACATGTGTGGGTGTTACACCAACACACACACAGATGTTCGGGTAGATGTAAATTGTTATGTTAGTGTATCTGTTTGCTGTTTTTTATTGTTTCCCGCATATGCCTGCAGATACATTCCATACACACGAGTGTGAGTGTACATGTGTGGATGTATATGTCTGGTCACAATGCTATTTATATATGTTCATATGTATGTGTAGGTGTGTGTGTATGTGTAACAACCATTTATCACCCGCCACATCATTCTCTGCTGGTGATGAAGACACCGGAAAAAAGGCCATACAAATGTGCAAATATATTTGTGTGTGTGTGTGGGAAATTTTGTAATCCTTAGACTTGAGACAGTGGGTTCCAAGAAAAATGGCTAACAATCTGAAGGCTTCGTAGAGCAAAAATAGATTTCCGATATGGGAGCAATGGCTAGAGATTTTCGGCAATAATTTTTAAGACATAGGTAAAATGGTATCCCTTTACCTCCATGACTTTGCAGTGAATTTTCAATGTTTTGTATTTTTGTCACCACCCCTTCCATTAGTGCCCTCTGTGCAGTCTAAGATTAATGTTTGTACTTACATACATGTGCGCTTTCTTATATGGCTGACACCTGTGCTATGCTGGCAAAAACTCCAGCTTCAGGTCTTATTAATATTTCAATGTGTACGAACACTTGAACAAGTAGCATAAGTCAAGGATGCTTAAACGAAAAGCAGCAGTACAAATAAAGGATCTGGTTTAGCCGCAGCAACAAGAAAAATGATTTTAACATAATATAGAGGAAAATCCGTTAAAGTCAAGAACAGTCCTGAGGGCCTAAGGAAATACTAAAGAATGTATTTCAGTGATCTATCAAAGGTTTCGATTTTAAAGAATATTTTTTCAAGGGTCCTTTAGAGGCGTATATTACAAAAAAAAAAAACAGTAAGGAAAGTAGTAAAGTCGGACGGGGCCGACTATATGATACCCTTCAACACTTTGGGTATATTCAACAGATTAATCCTAACACACGTCGTATTTTTAAAGAACCAATAAAATGAAAATGGATTGTCATTCTGCAATTCATTACGCTGTACCAAATTTCGTGCAATCTCTACCGATTTTAACGAAACTTAACAGGCATCACTCTAGACTTAAATCAGTACGCTATACCAAAATTCGTGCAAATCGAAAGACATGGAGGGACTTTGGTGCACCATTAAGACTAAATCGAAGCTATATCTAAATCTGAACCGATTTTCAGGAAACAAAATACACATCATTCTAGACTTTAGTACGCTACGCCAAATGTCGTGCAAATCAAAAGATATATAGAGACTTTGGTGCACCATTTACATTAAATCGGACGAAACCATATATGGGAGCTATATTTAAATCTGAACCGATTTTCACGAAATTTAACACACATCGTTCTAGACATAATTCAGTACGATATGCCAAATTTCGTGTCAATCGAATGATATATAGGGACTTTGGTGCACCATTTACCTTAAATCGGACGAAACTATATATGGGAGCTATATCTAAATCTGAACCGATTTTCTCGAAACTTGGCACACAACATTCTGGATCTAATTCAGTACTCTGTGCCAAGTTTCGTGCATATCGAAAGCTATATAGGGACTTTGGTGCACCATTTACCTTAAATCGGACGAAACTATATATGGGAGCTATATCTAAATCTGAACCGATTTTCTCGAAACTTGGCACACATCATTCTGGACATAATTCAGTACTTTGTGTCAAATTTCGTGGAAATCGAAAGATATAGAGGGACTTTGGTGGCCCATTTACCTCAAATCGGACGAAAATATATATGGGAGCTATATCCAAATCTGAGCCGATTTTCACAAAACTTAACACACATCGTTCTAGACTTAATTCAGTACACTACGCTAAATTTCGTGCAAATCGGTGCACCATTTACCTTAAATTGGACGAAAATATATATGGGAGCTATATTTAAAACTGAACCGATTTTTACGAAACTTGGAAGACATCATGTTAGGCTTAATTCAGTATGTTATGCCAAATTTCGTGCAAATCGAGAGATATATAGGGGCGTTTGTGCACCATTTATATAAAATCGGACGAAACTATATATGGGAGCTATATCTAAATCTGAACCGATTTTCACCAAATTTGGCAGACATTATTCTAGACCTAGTTCATTACCCTGTACCAAGTTTCGTGCAAATCGAAAGATATATAGGGACCGTTTACATTAAATCGGACGATAATATATATGGGAGCTATATCTAAATCTGAACCGATTTTCAACAATTTCAATAGGGTTCGTTATTAGGCCAAATAAGTGACAAATTTCAAATTTCATCCAAATCGGATCATAAATACGACATGTACTTACAATTCAACATCTACAGACGACCAGACGGACGGACGGACATGCATAAATCGACTCAGAAAGTGATTCTATGCATATTCTCAAAAGGAACCATGTGTCTATCTCGTTTCCTTTTGCCTGTTACAAACATATGCACAAAGACATAATACCCTGTACCACAGTGAGGTGAAGGGTATAAGGGTGTAAGAGGAGTGAATTTTTTAAAAATATTTTCCAGAGGGTCTATATAAGGTGTGGATTTTTTAAAAATATTGTTTAAGAAATATTTATGTATGTACACATATGTTCCACATGATTCCACAAGCTAAATATAGCTATCTTTAGAAAAAATAACTCTTATACCAATATATGTGTTAGTGTATGTGTGTGTATGTCAATATCCTTAAATCTCTGATAAAATACTTTGGATAAGTGTGTATGCAGATAAGTTTCTGTGTGAGTGTTTGTGTGGCTTGTGATTTTACTGTTAGCAACTTAGCAACAACATCAAGCAAAGGAAACCGGGAAATTAGGTCAAACCAGAACTTTACCTGTACTCTAGTGTGGCAGGAGAGGCAGTAGCAGCAGCAGTGTAGCTGCTGCAAATTCAAATAGACTTTTCGACCTATCCGAGCAACTTAGTGGCTGTACAACCTTCTTTGTGTGTGGGGGATATAAACTGTTAACAAAAACTTGAATGAAAACTGATATATCTATGTGTGTGAGTGTGTGTGTCTTATTGCATACATCTGTGTTAATTATCACACACACACACGGCTATATTTCTATAAATTTATCACACTTACATTAATTTAATTGCTATCCCTTTTTATTATCACTCATTCATGATGTATATCCTTTGCAATTGATTATTTAATGAGTTTATAATAACGTCTCTATCTTTTCTCTTTCTCTTCTCTTTGCAGGATGAAAAGAATCAATTGCTGGTCACAAATGTTTGGTTAAAATTGGTAAGTTGGAGATAATTGCATGTATTTAGTGTTGGAATTAATTTTGTTAAGTAAATCAATGTAAAAGACTTGACTTCGATTCGATGAAGTCAATAGCAATTAGAATTATATTTTAATTGGGTAAGGCAAATGTCCTGGGAAAGGACTTCTGTGAGCCACATGGCTGATAAATATATTTAGAGAATATTTAAGGAGTATATTATTAAGAAATTTTTGAGGGGCTATAAGAGGCATGGATTTTTTAAGAATATTTTTTCGAGGGCTAAAGAGAGGCGTGAATTTGTTAAAAAATATTTTTTCGAGGGTTATAAGAGGCGTGAATTTTTTAAATAATATTTTTTCGAGGGCTATACGAGGCGTGGATTTTTAAAGAAAATTGTTTGGAGGGCTATAAGAGGCGTGGATTTTTAATAAATATTTTTTCGAGGGCTATAAGAGGCGTGGATTTGTTAAAGAACATTTTTTCGAGGGCTATAAGAGGCGTGGATTTGTTAAAGAATATTTTTTCGAGAGCTATAAGAGGCGTGGATTATATAAAGAATATTTTTTCGAGAGCTATAAGAGGCGTGGATTATATAAAGAATATTTTTTCGAGAGCTATAAGAGGCGTGGATTATATAAAGAATATTTTTTCGAGAGCTATAAGAGGCGTCAATTTGTTAACGATTTTTTTCCAAGGCCTATATAAGGCGTAGGTTTGTTAACGATTTTTTTTCCAAGGCCTATATAAGGCGTAGATTTGTTAACGATTTTTTTTCCAAGGCCTATATAAGGCGTAGATTTGTTAACGATTTTTTTCCAAGGCCTATATAAGGCGTGAGGTTGACGTAGGGGATGATAGATACCAAGCAACGGCTTTGATTGGCTTTAACATGGCGACGTCCAGGCTTATCTTGGTCCCTCTTTCATCTCTATTGTGGACACTGACATCCCTGCGGTGTCACCTGGGGTAACTATTTTCATCATCCATTAAAATAGTGAGCTAATATATGCCGCGAGTTCACCCATAAGAACTATAAAAAAATGGATTGAGGCATCGGGTTAGTTGCCCACACTCGAAAAAACCCCTCCTACCATGAAAAAGCAACAAAAAAGAACAAAATCAGCCTCCATGAAGAAACATCAGACAACGGCATAAGGTTGATTGACTTCGCGGCAGCAAACAACATGGTAGTTAGCAGCACCATATTCAAGCATCTCGATATACACAAGGCCACTTGGATTTCTCCCGATCGCTCAACGAGAAATCAAATCAATCATGTTGTGATAGATAGGAGGCATTAATCCAGTGTTTTAGACGTCCGATCGATCCGAGGAGCGAATATCGACCACTACATTGTAGCAGTCAAGGTACGCACCCGTCTTAATGTAGCAGCAATAGTGCTAATGTAACACGGAAATGTGAAGTCGAAAAGCTGCAAACACAACAGATAGCCGAAGCCTATCCCGCTCAACTTACCCAACTGCTTGACGAAAGCACCCCTTGTCCGATAATAATATAGAAGCACAGTGGCAGAGAATTGCCCACTCCCTACAAACTGCAGCATAGACAAGACTTGGGTACCACAGACCACCAACAAGAAATCCGCGGTACGATCAGGAGTGTCGTAATGCAACTGATATGAAAAAAACAGCGTATAGGGCAACCCTGCGGACAGTCTTTGGTGCAGGCACATCCTCCTGTAGAGATAAAGAAGAAAACCTGGTGACAGATACAGACAGCGAATGATTGGAATCTCAGCATCCAGCATCGTCAGCATCTCGTGCACAAAAAAGGAGACAGGACGATATGTGCCAACTATAGAGGAATAAGTCTCCTTCCCATCGCATATAAAGTGCTATCCAGCATACTGTGTGAACGACTGAAGCCAATGGTCAATGACATTATTGGACCATACCAATGCGGCTTCAGACCTGGCAAATCCACCACTGACCAGATTTTCTCTCTGCGCCAAATCCTGGAAAAAAACCCACGAAAAACACATCGACACATTCCATCTATTCGTCGACTATAAAGCCGCATTTGACAGCCCTATCCGTTCAGAGGTGTATAGATCCATGTCTACGTTCGGCATTCCTGCAAAATTAATTTGGCTAACTGACACAAAATCAGCAGTTAAAGTCGGAAAGGACCTCTCGGAGCCCTTAAATACCGAACGAGGACTCAGACAAGGTGATAGTTTGTCGTGTGACCTTTTTTACATCCTGCTGGAAAAGGTCATACGAGAGGCAAAAGTGAACATACATTGCACTCTGTACACCAAACAAATTACTCGCCTACGCCGATGACATCGACATAATGGGTCCAACATTGAGAGCGGTAACAATAATCTTTGAACAAATTGAGAAGGAGTCTGCCAAAGTGGGTCTGGTAGTAAACGGCGAGAAGACCAAGCTGATGGTATCAACGCGCAAGACGTCTAGTAAACTAGGACCAACTGTGGAACTTGAGAACTACAGCTTCGAGGTAGTCAAAGATTTTATATTCCTTGGTACGGCCATAAATAAAACGAATGACCTCAGTTTTGAAATTCGGAGAAGGATAGTGTTGGCCAACATATGCTACTATGGTCTGACTAAGCAACTCATAGGCAAGGCCACCTCACGCTAGACCAAACTCACACTCCACAAGACGCTGATACTACCCGTGTTGTTATACGGATCTGGAGCATGGGTACTTACGCAAGCAGATGAGGAAGCTCTTGGAGTGTTTGAGAGAAAAATTCTCTGAAAGATCTATGGGCCGATTTGCGTTGACCGTAAATATCGCAGTCGAATGAACCATGAGTTGTACCAGCTATTCTCGGACATCGACATTATTAGACGTATTGAGCTGAAGCGACTATGTTGGCTAGGTCATGTTGTGAGAATAGATCAAGATTCCCCAGCCCAGAAGGAATATAAAGGCGAACCAGCTGATGGTTCACGCAGAAGGGGAAGTCCACGAATAAGGTGGAAAGATCAAGTGGAAGACAACATTGCCGAATATGATCATTAAAATTGGAAAAACTGCGCAAAAGACCGACGAGCCTGGAAATAATGTTTAAGCTCGGTTTATGGAACGAAAGTTCCGTCAGAAGCCAGCTATGTTAGTGTATAAGTCGTGGATTTTTTAAATATTTTTTTCAAGGCCTATATAAGTCGTGGATTTTTTAACGATTTTTTTTCAATGCTTATATAAGTCGTGGATTTTTTAAAGATTAATTTTTAAATATTTAAACCTTCTTTAAAACATATCGGCCTATTTAAACATCGCCATCAATATGCCATTAATTCACATTTGTGTATCCTCATTTATATGTGTGTATGTTCGATATGAATGATATTTCACTTCCTTGTCAGAAAAGAAAACAAACGAGAAATATCGATCAAATAACATTACCATGACTACTGAACTTCGAGCAGTTACTCAGAAAAAACCCGAGAAGAAGAAGCAGGGACGAAGTCCACTGAATTTTAAATGTAAAAAAAATATCAGGATAAGGTAATGATTTTAATACGTGAGGGGGTTAACGATATCATTCAGGAGCAAAAAAAAACAAAGAACATTACTCCCAAAAGTTCCTCCATTGTTGTTGTCAGGGATGGTCCGTGTGACGAATTTTTAGGTTTTCGACCGTCAAAAAGGTGTAAACGTCGAAAACGTCATATACCTGTATAAAATGTAATAAATGTAGTAAACGTCGTTTATTTCAATATTATCAGCAAATAAGGTTATTTTCAAGAATATATATTATTTTTACATATATCTGACTATTCCTTGCTAGAACTGATAAAAATTTCTAAATTTTTTTGAGAAGAAAATTTTCAAATTTTTTTATGGATTTGAGTAAAGCATGCGTAATTTCCAAATTGATTAAAGGAAATAGCTATTTTGTCAAAAACCTAATGGATTTGGGTAGGTTTCCGACGTTTCTGACGTATGTCATTTACGTCATTGTTTCTGACAGGCCATCTCTGGTTGTTGTTGCTTTCTGTTTGTTGTGATTTCAGTATTTTTATATGTTTTTCTTTTTCTCCTTCATTTTGTGGTAATTTGTATGAAACATGCAAAACGATACTCCTTCATTCACATAATATGGGGGAATATGACAAAAGGCGAATGAAAACCTGAACCTGGTATTTTTTTGTTAATGTTCGGTGGGCGTGCGGGTGTGTATGTGTCTGGGTTTTTAACATCGGCCCTTAAAAATATTCTTTAAAAAATCCACGCCTTATGGCCCTTAAAAATATTCTTTAATAAATCCACGCCTCAGTTGGCCCTTGAAAAATATTCTTTAATAAATCCACGCCTCAGTTGGCCCTTGAAAAATATTCTTTAATAAATCCACGCCTCAGTTGGCCCTTGAAAAATATTCTTTAATAAATCCACGCCTCAGTTGGCCCTTGAAAAATATTCTTTAATAAATCCACGCCTCAGTTGGCCCTTGAAAAATATTCTTTAATAAATCCACGCCTCAGTTGGCCCTTGAAAAATATTCTTTAATAAATCCACGCCTCAGTTGGCCCTTGAAAAATATTCTTTAATAAATCCACGCCTCAGTTGGCCCTTGAAAAATATTCTTTAATAAATCCACGCCTCAGTTGGCCCTTGAAAAATATTCTTTAATAAATCCACGCCTCAGTTGGCCCTTGAAAAATATTCTTTAATAAATCCACGCCTCAGTTGGCCCTTGAAAAATATTCTTTAATAAATCCACGCCTCAGTTGGCCCTTGAAAAATATTCTTTAATAAATCCACGCCTCAGTTGGCCCTTGAAAAATATTCTTTAATAAATCCACGCCTCAGTTGGCCCTTGAAAAATATTCTTTAATAAATCCACGCCTCAGTTGGCCCTTGAAAAATATTCTTTAATAAATCCACGCCTCAGTTGGCCCTTGAAAAATATTCTTTAATAAATCCACGCCTCAGTTGGCCCTTGAAAAATATTCTTTAATAAATCCACGCCTCAGTTGGCCCTTGAAAAATATTCTTTAATAAATCCACGCCTCAGTTGGCCCTTGAAAAATATTCTTTAATAAATCCACGCCTCAGTTGGCCCTTGAAAAATATTCTTTAATAAATCCACGCCTCAGTTGGCCCTTGAAAAATATTCTTTAATAAATCCACGCCTCAGTTGGCCCTTGAAAAATATTCTTTAATAAATCCACGCCTCAGTTGGCCCTTGAAAAATATTCTTTAATAAATCCACGCCTCAGTTGGCCCTTGAAAAATATTCTTTAATAAATCCACGCCTCAGTTGGCCCTTGAAAAATATTCTTTAATAAATCCACGCCTCAGTTGGCCCTTAAAAAAATATTCTTTAATAAATCCACGCCTCAGTTGGCCCTTGAAAAATATTCTTTAATAAATCCACGCCTCAGTTGGCCCTTGAAAAATATTCTTTAATAAATCCACGCCTCAGTTGGCCCTTGAAAAATATTCTTTAATAAATCCACGCCTCAGTTGGCCCTTAAAAATATTCTTTAATAAATCCACGCCTCAGTTGGCCCTTAAAAATATTCTTTAATAAATCCACGCCTTATTGGCCCTTAAAAATATGAATGTGTGTGTGTCTCATCTCATATTTCTCCCTCTCTCTGTTTTTCTCTACAGGAATGGAACGACATGAATTTACGTTGGAACACATCAGACTATGGCGGCATCAAAGATTTACGCATACCGCCACATCGGATATGGAAGCCGGATGTGCTGATGTACAACAGTGCCGATGAGGGTTTCGATGGTACATATCAAACGAATGTTGTGGTACGGAATAACGGTTCATGTCTCTATGTGCCACCGGGCATATTCAAGTCGACATGCAAAATCGACATAACATGGTTTCCGTTCGACGATCAGCGATGCGAAATGAAATTTGGCAGTTGGACATATGATGGATTTCAGGTTTGGCAAAAGCAAAATAGCAAAAGCAAAGAGACGTTGAAACAAAAAAAAAAAATATCCCAGAAAAAAATAAAAAATATACAAAAAATTAAAAAAAAAAATACTGGGATATGTAAAGACTCTGCAGGGAGTACAGTAGTACTTCGTGGTCCTGATTTTTTGTTTAATGTTTTTTTTTTAAATTTTGAATTTTTAAGATTATTTTGAAATGAATTTATTTAAGATTTAAAGGCAATTCAGTTCCATCTCCTACCATATTTTTGAGGTCTATCAAGAGGCGTGTTTTTTTAAAAAACTTTATTTGGAAAAATAATCTGAGCCTTGTGTAGACCCTCTAAGCATTTCTTTAAATAATTCAAACCATTAATAGACCCTCAAAAAATGTCTTAAAATTATCTAAGCCTTGTGTAGACCCTCTAAAAATATCTTTATGTAATGATAATGATTAATAGACCCTCTAAACCTCTACCTCTAAAAAATATTCTTTAACAAATCCACGCCTTGTGGAGACCTCTAAAAAATGTTCTTTAACAAATCCACGCCTTGTGGAGACCTCTAAAAAATGTTCTTTAACAAATCCACGCCTTGTGGAGACCTCTAAAAAATGTTCTTTAACAAATCCACGCCTTGTGGAGACCTCTAAAAAATGTTCTTTAACAAATCCACGCCTTGTGGAGACCTCTAAAAAGTGTTCTTTAACAAATCCACGCCTTGTAGAGACCTCTAAAAAATGTTCTTTAACAAATCCACGCCTTGTGGAGACCTCTAAAAAATGTTCTTTAACAAATCCACGCCTTGTGGAGACCTCTAAAAAATATTCATTAAAAAGTCCACGCCTTGGGTAGACCTTCAAAAAAAAATTATTGAAAAAATTCATTCCTTGTGGAGACCTCTAAAAATATTTTTAAAAAAATCCACATTTTGAATGGAGCTGAATTGCCTTTCCTAATTTTCTTTTAATATTTTTCCTCTTCTGTTTTTATTTTCATTTAATTTTTAGTGTCAAAAATGTGTATTTAATTTTTTGATTATTAAAATTTAAAAAACAATTGTTTTGATCAACTCATCTCAACTGTGTCCGTTTCGACAGCTGGATTTACAATTACAAGATGAAACTGGCGGTGATATCAGCAGTTACGTGCTCAACGGCGAGTGGGAACTACTGGGTGAGTAGGTTATCTTTGTTTGTTTGCGTTATGCTGGCACCCCACCCACACTGCAGGAAACAATTCCTGAGGGTGGGGGAGGGCAGTATACGCAGTCCCTCAAAAAAAGTAAAAGAAAAATCTTCCTTTTAAAAAAACCGAAAACAAATTCAAAATGAATCATGGTCACCACAACCATCATCACTACCACCACTACTACTACTACTCCAGCTAAAAACTAATACTGATACTCCTATTATAACCACCTTAACTTTCATTTCAATACATCTATACTCGTATATAGCGATAGTTGTACTTCATGTACCTTGTCATAACCACCATTACCACTACTACAACCATGTCATACAAAAAAAAAAAAAAAAAAAAAAAAAAACTCTGAAATGGAACACACAAAAACTCCTTCGTAGCAGACCTACAACAAATCTGATTTTTTTGTTTTTGTTTTTTGAGTGTATGTGTGTTTCTGTTTTCCCATTTGCAAACAAATAGAAAATGCTCCCTCTAAAAAAACCGAAACAATTGGAAAAAACTCCGAAAAAAAACTTGAAACAAAGTACAATCCTTAGAGAGAATGTGGTGTCCTTAGTTGCCAAATGTAGTCCTTCCCAAAACAAAAACCTTCAAGACAAATATTCACCGAAAAATACAAAAAAAAAAAATTAAATTAAATTGTAGTGTCCCCACACACACACACGTTAACGTTTCCCTATATAGATGTGTGAGTGTATGTGTTATATGAGAAAAAAACTATAGAAATTAAAAAAAGTAAAATAATTTACAGTGGAACGTGGTTATAATGAATAATAAACAAATATTTTAATCTTTGTATATATAAACTTAAAATTTAAAAAAAATTGAATAAGTTTAAAACAAAAAATACGCTTTTTTAAAATTAAAAAAAAATAATAATAATAAAAATATTATTTTTTTCATTATAGCCACCTTCCACTGTTTTGAAACATAAATGTTCTGCAATGGTTGTTATTATTGCTGTTGTTATTGTATTATTATTGTTGTTTATATTAAATGTTAGTGTGTTAATACACAAATATTAATGTTGCTTTTAAATGTGTAGATGTGACCGAGTATAGAGATTGATTTACACCTAGACAATGGTTACATACACCATGTTAAATTACACCAATGTTAATTATAGAGCAGAGAACACAACTTATCATTTTTGCAAACAAATAGAAAAAAAATAAAAAAAATACAAAAATTTTAAAAGATTCTAATTGAAGGGAATTTTAAGAAATATTTTTAAATGGTCCAAAATTGTGGGTAGATTTAAAGAAAAAAATACATATTTTTAAAGGATACAAAATTGTGAGTGAAATTTTGAAAATATTTTTAAAAGCTTAATCCAAAAGGATGTGTGAATTGAAAATTAAGTATGCAAAATATGGGTGAAAAGAAAGAAATATAAACATTTTTAAAGCATTTTTGAAAATACTTTTTTAATGATTCCAAATGTTGGTTGATTTGTAAAAACAAAAAAAATGTAACGATCCAAAAGGATGGACAATTTTTTTTAAAACTTCCTTAATTGTGAGATATTTTTTTTAAATATTTTTAAATGAAAAAAATTTGGAATAAAATTGTTTAAAAATATTTGTTGAGGATCTAAAACAGGGGTGATATTTAGAGGGTCCAAGTATGGGACAGTTTTTTAAAAATATTTTAAAATGATGCGAAATTATAAATGGATTTTTTAAATTATTTTTAATGGATCTCTTTACCATACTACAGGGTGAGATAAAAAACTGCAACAAAGCCAAATGCCATATTTTTTACATTTTTTGCACCCTTCACCACACTGTGGTACAGGGTATTATGTCTTTGTGCATATTTTTGTAACAGGCAAAAGGAATCGAGATAGACCCTTGGTTTCTTTTAAGAATATGCATAGAATCACTTTCTGAGTCCATTTACGCATGTCGTCTGTCCGTCCGTCTGTCTGTCCGTCCATATATTTTTGTTAACAAAGTACAGGTCGCATTTATGATCTGATTTAGATGAAATTTGGCACAGTTCACTTATTTGGCCCGAGGATGAAGCTTATTCAAATTGGAGAAAATCAGTTTAGATTTAGATGAAATCGGTTCAGATTTTGATATAGGTCTTATGTATATTTTCGTTCGATTTTATATAAATGGTGGTTACACGAAATTTGGCAAATGTATGCAGTGTATGCAACGGTTACTCAATTAAGTCCATGTGTTTATATATAGCTCCCATACATAATTTGACTTGACTTTATACAAATGGTACACCAAAGGATCAGAGTCTGTCCGTTTGACATGCAATTTTTCATTGATTTCAGAATGGTATGTATATGGGGTTTTTCAATTGGTTCGCCTGATTAATGGCATCTTAATGGTCCTCCAAAGATCCTATGACCGTTTTATCTACAGGATATTGTAGATATTAACATGTCTTGCATGTACCCAAAGTGGTGAAGGGTATCATATAGTCGGCCCCGTCCGACTTTTATTACTTCATTTATGTACAGTAATGATAATCTATAATATCGCAGGCTTAACTTATAAAGGCAACAAGTCAATTTTTTTTTAGAAATTCAGATTTTGATACAGTTATGTATAATAAGGCAAAATACATCGATTAAAAAAAAAAAATAAAATACAGTTATCGTATTTTTATTGTTGTTTTGTATTGATGAGTAAAGGCGCTGTGTTCAATTCATGACATGTCAATGACTTAACATCATGTAAAGGGCCTAAATCCATTTTTTATTTTGAGAATTTTGGACACGATTTTCAGCCGAATTGACCTAATTTGGTATTTTAGGTACTTATACTTAGGCAATTATCAATATTAGTTCACTGTTTTAGGGTACCCCCATATAATGTTATCCCCAATTTGGAATTTTGGAAGATTTGGACAGTGTTTTCAAACGAATTGGCTGTAATTTTACATATATGGGACTCTCATTGGGTACAAAATCTCCCCACCAAAATTATCGTTATTGTCCCAAGTTTCGGAGTAGCTCTCATAGTACGTTATCCCCCCATTATTATAATTTGTAAACACGATACAGGCCACAGTGGTGGACCATAGAATATCCCTATTGTTTTTGGTAATGATCGGTTAATATTTAGGCTTCAGAGGTCCAATTATGACCCGAACACCGCGAAATTTTATACAGAGAGAAGAAACGGACCATATAATAAGCATAATAGATTTGGTGAACATCGGTATATTTACTTCTGAAGGACATGGATCCTAGAAGTTGATAGTATATCGAAGAGCGGTGGTTGACCTTTAACTTGATACCAATTATATGGTTGTATGTACTGTGATGTGGGAGTTATCAGATTTTATAGTTGCTCTAGAGGTCATTATTATACGCAGAACATCACATGTTTAACACGGTGATGGGGATCTGAACAAATACTTTGAACGCCTGTTTCGATGATGATCGATGATGATTTCGATTATGACGGAAAACAAGAGTTGGAAAATATGCCAGGGTCAAGATAATGCAAATATCGTGAAATAATGCCGGAGTATAGATCCGCAAAAACTTAGACTTCAGTGGTTGTTGTGTAGGGAACAACTCACTGGTTATTCATATTTTTATATAAATTATGATTTCAAACAAACCTTCACTCTTTTAAATAAAGTTAGTATGTAAAAAATATAATATATAAGAAACAAGTTGTAAGAAAAAGTCCTAAATCAATGAAAACAGAAAAGTCTCGAAGTCCCAAAAAAGCGTGTATCGTGTGATTTTTTTAACCTTTGTCAAGCGTTATAGTCCGCTTAACCTTTGTCAAGCGTTATAGTCCATGTGTGAAACATGGACTTTTGTTGGAAATGTTCTGTGAAAAAATTGTTTTCCAAACAAGATCCGGGAGTGCCAAATTACATTCACAAAAGCCAATCTTTTCTGTGGGACTATACACAAACATTGACAGATATTTTTGGGCGGAAGATTTGTCACCCAATTAAAATTCCACAATTTAAATCAGAGACATCAGATGGACATTTAAAATACCTATTATATTTGGGGATCAAAATACCCAAAATACAGACACTCAGCTTGGAAAAATAGAATAGGACATTAAACATTTGTGTGGAAGCTATGTGTAAAGCATGGATTAATATTGAAAATGTTCTGCAAAGTAAATGTTTACCCACCAAAATCTCGCAGTGACAAATTACGGCCACTTCGTAATGCCAAGATGTAGACAATTCGATCGAAAAAATCTTCTTGGGCTAGCAAATTTCCTTTAAAGGGACTAGAATTTTATATAGAAGTTTTAAAGAAATATCCATTCATATTTTTCGGCGGTCGGCTAAGCTATAATAAATTTGCTGTCAAGAGAAAATGAAATATCAAAGCACAGATACTCAGGTTGGAAAATTTTGCTAGAACTTTGAACATGAACCAAAAATTACATGGACATATATTGAAAATGTTCTGTGAAGAAAATGTTTATCCACGAAACTTTTGAATGTCAAATTCCAGGAAATGTTTATATGGCCAGAAAAATATTAAAATTTTTTGTGGGGAAAGATTTGATATCGATAATTCTATGACAAACTTTTCAAATTTTGGAAGTTCCATTATATTTGTGCTACCACGAAGATTTTGCTGAATAATGGGTGGTACCAATCTATAAAAAACAGTAAAGAAAGTAGTAAAGTCGGACGGAGCCCATTATATGATACCCTTCACCACTTTGAGTATATTCAACAGACCAAAGCCCATATTTTGGGGCTTTGGTGCACCATTTACTGAAAATTTGACGAAACTATATATGGGAGCTATATCTAAGTGCAACTTTCCACCCAGTATGTTATACTAACTTCAGTACGTTGTGCAAAGTTTTGTGTCAATCGGCCATATTTTGGAGCTTTCGTGCACCACTTACTGAAAATCGGACGAGCTATATCTGAACCGATTTTTCCATTTTAAATAGGGTTCGTCCTTGGGTCAAACATATGAGCTGTGCCGAATTTGATTCTATTCGGAT